TGAAAATTTTTTAAATTTTTAAATTTTTAATGTAATATTAATGTTTATAGCCAAAAAAGGTTTTGTTAGCTAATAAATTATTATGAAGGGTCAAGGCTTGCATCACGAATTGCATCTTGTGTCAGTTGTATATAATAAAAATTTTTTGCTATACCAAAAATAATCACAACACTTGTGCAAAAAATTTTATAATCGGATGTTACAATAATCCGGGCGGGTTCTATCGTGTCTATATTAATATAATCATGTGACAGGTTTGCTAAAAATATATATATAGTAATAGAACGGGACGGTGATTTAATTAATTAATATTGTCATATTAATATTAGATGTTAAAAATATGTTTCAGTTCGTTATAGAATGAGTTAGCTGCATATTCCTCGATTCAGATAGTTTTTTGGGGTGAATTAAATACCACAACAATTGTGATTCGCTTTATCTTTAAATTCCACAAGTCTAAATATCAATTTTAGGTAATTTGATGCATAATAATAATTAAACTCACAGACATATTTAATGTTAATGTTAATGTTAATGGGTTTTGAGATGTTCCGAAAACTGTAAATATTATAATGAACGATATTAATATCGTACGAGGGGCTATTTACGGAAAATAAATATAGAAACTTTGTGATCCAAAATCTTTTTTTAAAAAAAGCCAGAACGGATATATATGTGATAGCTTTAGTTTTAGTATAACAAAAAAGGCGAAGAGCGTCGCACCGATTTAATGTCAGGTTTTGAATTCTTAACAATCTTTGTAATAATAATATTTTAATAGAATAATTTTTTAACCCTTTTTTTTTCTTTCGATTTTCCAAGAGAATTTACTCTTTCCAATTATTATTAACATTTTGAAAAAAGCAAACAATAAATAGAGGATCTAAATTCTCATACTCATTAAATTCTTGTACTCGTTTTTTCTTTATTTTGAAGTATACCTTATATATTCATATTAATTTATATTAATATACAAAAAATGTCGAATTTAGAACGAATACAACAACAACCGTTATTAATGGCTCAAACATCAATTATTGAAAATGATGATAATATAAATAATAGCGATTTCAATGCCAATTCCAATTCCAATGCCAATGCTTCACAACACTCCAACTCCAACTTCAATTCCAATTCCAACTCCGATTCCCACGCCAACTACACCGACACAAATACTACTAATTCAGTTACAAAAACTCCGCTTGATCCAAATACAACAACATTTGAACAAAATCCACCTGAAACAGTTTCAACAAATTCTGAGAAAATAAAGTCTCATTCAGGAGCAGAATCGACAACTTTTTCATCACAAGTTGATGTATCATTATCTGGGACAAAAAATCATGAAGCAGATGATAAAGTCAGTCTAACATTACTTCTAGTTTCGGGGAAAAGACACACTTTTTCGTTTGACCCTAATGATACAATATTAACAGTTAAACAAAAAGTCTTTAGTAATTGGCCAAAAGGTATTTATTATAATGTGCCTTAGTTATTGGGAAATTATTTTTATTATCTAATTAAATGATTTATTCGTTATGAAATTTAAGAATGGGCAGATGAAACACCAAGTTCTATTTCAAGTTTAAAGATTGTATATAGAGGACGATTCTTGGAAGATATAAGCACTCTTGAATGTAAGGATATTACTTAAATTACATACATGTTTATTTATTTAAATATAGAAAAGAAAAGAAAGTAATAAAGAAAATCTTGACAGGAAATGTTACAAATATTAAACACATTTTTCACACACACATATATATGTGAAACAAACAAACAATCATAATGATTTATGGTCAAATTTTATATAATTCATGGAGAAACAAAGAAAAAGATTTTTAATTGATACAATAATTTAATATTATATTATTTCCTTTCTTTAGCTAACAAGATTCTTCGTGGTCAACCAACAATTGCACATTTAACATTCAAGAATATTTTAGCTTCTGATCTTGAAGGTTTGTTGTTTTGAGCGAATAATAAATATTTTCAGCATATACTGTTTTCTTTTTTAATTAACTAATTAACTTGCTAATATTTCACAAATTGTGTATATATATATATATATATATTAGATCTTAAAGTTACAGAAAATCCACCAAAATGTCATTGTATAATACTGTAAATTATTATTATTATTATAGTAATTATAATAATGAAACTTTATATTATTAGTGAAACATCCTATTATTACAAAAACAGCCGGTTTATATATATATAAATATATATATTAAATAATAAATTACACTCACTCACAATATCACCAAATGCCGCCACAACTACTACATAATAAATCACACAAACATTTTAATATTTACAACTCACAATCCTTATTTATTCATTTTTAACAAGTTACTTTCTTTTCTTATTTCCCTTAGATTGTTTTTGTTTTTTATATTTTTAATTTTTCAAACAAAAAGAGACTAAAATTTTTTTATATATATTATATAAATAATTAGGAATTAAATTTTTTGTTAATTATGTATTTTAAATTTCTAATTTTCATCGCATCATCATCTTCATTATAATTAATCCTTTTAATTATTTTTATTATTAATTTTTGAAAATAAGTTATTAGATTCAAAAATTAATATTAATTATAAAAATAAAAAAATTTTAAAATGTTGAACGTTAATTTTTTATTGGATTTCATTTTTTATCCAGCATTAATTATAAATAAATAGCTGATTGATTAAAGCTACATATAAGCAGTTTGAAAATTTTATATCAATTTATTTCATGATGGTGGTGGTGGTAATAATAATAACATAAATAACCCATCACTCTATTTCTCTTTTTCTCTCTTTTTCTCTTTATTCAAACTTTTTTTTTTCTACTTTTACAAATAATCTTTTTTTAGAATTAACAAATTTAGCTTTTGCTGTATTAATATCAACAACATAAGGTAATGGTAAATTCAATATATATTTTCCAGAAGAATTTACAAAAAGTCTAGAAGGCTCTATGTCAACAATTGTTTTCTCAATTAATTCCTGTTATATATCAACATTTTAAATGAGTAAATATTATAATCTCTAATAAGTATTTAAATAATTGACAAGTAGTTAGGTACTTACTAAAGAAGATATTTCAATTGCTATTAATAAATAGTTTATATTGTTGGCATCATGTTCTGTGATTATATACCCAGGTTTTTGAACATTTGAAGTATCATCTTCATCATTGTTGTCTTTGATTTTATTGTCATTTACCTTGTTTGTCGGATCTTTGATTGGCTTGGAAATTTCGGTTATTAAAGAGAATTTTTTCTTTGGAATCTTCACTGTTCTACTCTCTATAATGCCTTTATAATGCATTTTAGGAAATGTATATTCTAATATCATCATATTTAAATAATTAAATAATTAATTAAACAATATATTCAAATATAATATATCTACTTTTTTTTAAAAAAAAAAACCCCCCAATTTTTACCTCTGCCAAGTTCAATCATGTTTTTTTCTTCAATCAATTCCACGGCCACTTCACTCACATACAACTTAAAATCATAATCTTTTAGAATTCTTTGATACACCTCGTTGTTCACAATAAAATCGCATACAAGACATTTCTTCTGTGCTTTTACACATCATCACTTTTCGTTTCAGTAAAGATTCTCTCATATGAATCAAATTTTTAATTGAGAAAAAAAAATCATTCTATTTCTTTTTTTTTAATAATTTGACAAACCTGCATCTTTATCAAACTTTATGTCATTCAAAACATTTGGTACTCGATAAATAGCATCAGCATCACCATTCATAGCTTTTCGAAGTTCTTCTTCACTAGTACAAGTAGGCTTAGGTATTTTATCTGAATAACACATATTTATAAAAAATTTCATATTTGATGGATATTTATTTGTTTCCATGGAGGTTTTAACCAATGTTTTTAATACCATTCCTGGTTTTGGAAGTATATCGACTGTCTCGTACTCGGGACTCTGATCACTTGAAAACAATTCTATTTTTGACCGGAAATCATCCTCGACTTTTTTTTTTTTAAAAAAATTTTAATTTTAAAAATTTCAACAAAATATTAAAAGCAACAACTTTTTTAAATTTAAATTATTTTCTTACTTTCTTGCATCTCCAATTTTTTTGCTTGGTCTAGCAAAGGTTCTTTGAGAAAAAAATCCATTGCGTTTAAAGTTTCTCTAAACGAATCCTCGATCAAATTTTATTATTATTATAGTTAATATAAAATTTTGGATTATCTGTTAATCATTTGACTATTATTATTATTACTATATTAATATATTAATATGGGAGCTTTTCGATAGAAACGGAGCCATGTCGTGAGAAAAGCAATTTTGAGTTAATACCATTGCTATATGTAACTCCTCACGTGGAACATTTTTGGCTTAGAAATCATACCCACTTTGAATAGTAAAGTATCCAGATACTTTTAAAGTTTCAAAAAAACCTCTTAATATTAAGATGCAGATCTTTTTTTCTATTGAAAAGCCCGAATATTCATATATTCTGTTACACACATGAATACATACAAAAATTATCATAATAAAAACAAATAAGGTGGATATAAAGCTCCGGACATAGTCTCTTTCGTTTTAATAATATCCGTATATTTTATATTTGCATTTTTATTATTTATCATAAAAATAATGTCACTTTTTGACCTAATTCGTTTTGTAATAATAAAAATTTTTATAATTTAATAATAAAACAAATCAATTCTTTTTTTTTTTTGTTCAATAAAACACTTTTGTGGTCGGAAATCAAACAGTAGGGTTTAATATTAATTGACCATTTGGTTTTCGCCCGCAGTTTAAGTTTCACTAGCTTTGTGTCGTCGTGTTACGAATTGCCTTGAGTTAAATCTTTGTGTGACATAACTAAAATTTTAAATCACCAGCTCATGATAATATAGTTTTTTACACAACCTTAATTCGCGAATATTACTTTCAATTACATTTATATTTACATTCATACTCGGTATCAATAATTTTAAATCATAATTTGTTTCATCAAGAAAAAATGAAAATTGGTAAGCCTATCTATACTAATACACATAAACATTTGTTATAAGCTTTAACACGAGAATGAAGAATTAAATCTCTAAATCTTTTATTATTATTTATCAATATGTAATCAACTTGCATAGAAAGTACGACCATTAGAACTGTTGGAACTGTTAATACTTCAAAATGGAACGAGAATTTAACTGATCCTTGCAGTTCTTCTCCCATTATTGCTACCACTACTAACATTAATGATATCACTGATACGAGTAATTTATCAATTTCAACCAAAACTTATAAGAATGGTAATGGTAACTAAAATAAATCTTGATAATATAATATTGATGCAATAATAGTATACATATTATTAACTACATATATACTTAGAACCTCGAGCTATTGATGAATATGATTTTAAAAATAATACTTATAATGTTAAAAGTAGTAATGGTAATGTAGAGATTGATGGCAGAAATACTAGTGGCAACTCTAAAAATCATTTGACGAATGAACAAGTCGAGGTTAAATCAGAAGATAGTGATAGTGTTGCTATTGCCAACAAAAGATTTGCTGACCATTTGAAGATGTGCGATTTACTTTATCATGGTAGAAGAGGTAAAAAGTTGAATAAACGGAAACAAACTAGTGATTTAATTGTTCGAGTTGGCGATCTTGAGTCTTTTCGAAAACGTCGAAATGCTGAATCAGAAAAAAAAAAAAAGGAAGAACTTATTAAAAGCTACGAGAAAATGCAAACAAATTCTGTGGAAAAGATAAATAAAAGGTGGCACCGACATGATAGAAAAAATTAAACCAAAAAATCTTGCAATATTATTTTTATCAACATGTTTATTTTAATGATATCTATCTATGCTTTTTAAAATAAATAAAATGCCAAAATTTGCTGTGTAACGATTTGATTATCAAAAACACGTCTCACTGTTTTTTCATTTTTCACGAGTAAAAAAAAAAATATATTTTAAAATGAATAATAATCAAGACCTAAAAGACAAACTCGCAGAGCAATATGTCAACATAGCATTGAAACATTTCCAATACAAGGAAGTTAAGAGCGAGGTTGATTATTCTTCATAAAAAATCTAGCTTAACAAACGTGTTTTTTTCATCTAACTTATTATTTAAGATAATCTTTTGAAGGAACTAATTGAACTTAATAGACAAAAAATCAAACAATTACTAGAGGAAAATGAGAGAATTCTTGAGGAACAATTAAAATCATCAAAAAGAAGTGCATTTTCTGATCATTCCAAGTCATTGAGAGTTAAAGGTTCTCGAGAAAGTAGCAGTAGCAGCAGGAGCAATGATTCAATGGGAAAAAAATCAATCACGTTGAAATTTCAAGTAAAAATTGATTTTTTTTCCATTGCTATGCTTTATTGATTAAATTTGATTATTTATTTTTTTATTGATTTGTAAGGATTTCCAACCAGATGGATCTGTTAAGAGTAAGTTTGTAAATCCCCGACTATTTTCAATTCCTCATGTTAAACCCATTCCAAAATACGCAATATGGACTCCTATTATAAGAAACATTAAGGTATAATAATAATAACAACAACTAAAGAAGATGGTTGTGATTTAATAATGATAACTTCATCAATTTTAAAATTTTATTTATTTATATAATAAATAATAATAGACAAAAGATGATCCAGTGTTGAGACATCTTTATTATTTTGGAGAAGGTGCTGAACACGATTTAGATATTGATTTTTACATGGATGTCTTTGATAAAATTGATTTTGGATCTTCTAAATTTGATAACGATGGTAAACACTACCAAAATAATTATTGCTAATGATGATGATGATAATGATGACGTTTAGCGAGAATTAAAATATACTTATTATATGTTTTTATTCAAATTATATATATGTATATATATCCTAGTGGAAAAAATCCTCTTCAAAACTTTTGATCATTTTTTCAATCAATTTGAAATTGAACTAAATGTAATCGAAAGCTTTCTTGATGAAAGAAAGCCAAACGTGCCGCAGCTTAAAGTCACTACCACCAGAAAGAAAAATTATGACTTTATTATTGACGAAATTATCAATTCGTTTCCTGCTATCATCAATAAATGTGATGTTTACATACTATTACAAAGGTATAATAAAATAATTATTCTATGTGTCATTGACTTATATATTCACATATATTTAACATCCAAAAAAAGATACATAGAATGTAAGAAACAATTGCAATCTGAGATTGACGATCGTGTTAAAGAGTTTAGGTAACAATATTTAATGCCTTTCATATTTATATTTATATTTATACTATTTATACTTATATATATTTATTTATTTAAATGTGAAATAATTAATAGTCCATTAAAAGAAATTAATGGAAAGGATGTTTCTAAAATCTTTAAAAGTTTACAGTGTTTGCGGTGCTACAGATATAATTGCAAACTACATGGTTAATAAAATTAATGATATATATATTTATTTTTTTAATGTTATTTTTTCTTTAATGAATGTTTTTATTTTTCTACTTAAGTAGGTATTAATCAATTACCGCGTAAAGTTACGAAAAAACTTCATCCAGCTCCAAATCCAAATGAAGAACCATGTAAAAATGACTGTTATCGTTACTTGGCAGAGAAAGTTGATTATAGTGAACAAAGCTTGGAATCTGAGTGGAATGATGAGGAAATTGCATTATTTAATGAATCATGTAGATTAATCGGTACTGAAGATTATTGTGCATTAGCTGCTATAATCAAATCTAAGTCTTGTAAAGAGGTAAGTTATATATATATATATATATATATATATATGAACTTGAGTCTGAACTATGGGGGTTTTTTTAATAATATAAAAGGTTTATCAGAAATCACAATCTGTTGATGACATTATTACAAGCAGTGAAAAAGATCCAAAATTAATTAATAAAAAAGCATCAAACAGAGCAGTGATAATTGGTATTTTTCAAAAATTATTTATTTGTTTATTTATTATTGATAATCATTAAATTAATTTATGGATAAAATAGATAATGACGCCTATAAACAAGCAGAGTATAATCCATGCTATCATCCTGGTGAAGATTGTACAAGTGCTAAATGCAGTTGTTTAAAAGGGAATCTTTACTGTGAAAAGTATTGTCACTGTGAGGAGAATTGTATGTTTTTATTATTTATTTATTTTGGACAATTATATATCATTATTAACAAAGTTATTTATTTGCTAAAGGTGAAAGAAGATTTCAAGGTTGCAAATGTAATTATAGCAAAGATTGTGTTTGTGGAACAAAAAAATGTCCTTGTTTTGAAAATAATCGAGAATGTGACTTTGATATATGCAAATGTCCAGCTGGAGGTAATCATTTTTTTATCATATAATTGTGTACATCTATACTTATTTATTTACAATATTGATTAAACATTCAATTTAAGTACAATGCATCTATAACTCTGATACTTATTGTAAAAATGTTATGGTTCAGCAAGGACGTTCCAAAGTATTATTTTCTTTTTTGCTATCCAATAAATATATAAATATTTCTATTTATGTGTATATTTTATATGTATAAAAAGTTAACATACATTTATTTATTTTAATAGTCAACCATAATTGGTTTTTCAACGGTGGCAGGGTGGGGACTATTTATGAGAGAAGAAGTCAGAAAGAGCGAATACATTGGTGAATACATTGGCGAAGTAAATAGCGAAACTATTATTTTTATATATTAGTTAATTAATAAAAATATATTTCATAGATTATATCACATGCAGAAGCTGATCGACGAGGAAAAATTTATGATAAACGTCGTAGTAGTTTCTTGTTTAACCTGAACATAGGTTAGAACCATTTGATTTTTTTGAATGATTAAATATTTATAATTTTTAATTATATAATTCATTGTGTTATGTAATTAGACACAGTAATTGATGCCACTAGAAAAGGCAATAAATTAAGATTCATAAACCATTCAAATTCGCCTAATACAAATTGCCGTGGTATGCGTTATATAATTTTTTAAAAGATTAATTGTGGTATCAACTACAAATACTACAAATATTAATTAAATTGGTAAATAAATAGTGGTTATGGCAAATGGAGAACATCATATTGCTATCTATGCTGCTCAACTTATAAAACCCGGCGAAGAATTGTTTTATGATTACCAGTAAGAAACAATTATTAATATTTTTTTGCATATTATAAAATATATCTATTTTCATCGATCTCATTTATTCCTTTGGGTTTTTTTTTATTAGATATGATGGTCACGCTCTAGAGTTTGTTCCGATTGAAAGAAAAAAAATTAACAAACCCAAAAAAAAATAATAATTGTTTTATTAATCTTTTGATGCTATGATTTCATCCAAATAGATAGATGAAAAAAATAATGATTATATTTTTTACTTTTAATTATTATAATTATTATTATACATTACTCAGTTCAAGCCTTTAAATTTATAATCATTTGATTTTTACAATTAATTTAATCATAAGATTAATTAATTTCATTTTATCCTATCCTAACATAATCATCGCAATGTATTATAATAATTGTAATAGTAATAGTAATCAAATATATGAGAAATCCATGTTCTTTAAATAGTTCTTTATCAGTACTAGGACTTGGGAACCCAATAATTATCCTTGCGTATATTTTATTATTATTGCTCATAACACCTTTCCACAATATTTGTACGTCTTTATCGTTTTCTTTCTTCCTGTAAAATCTAGTTTACAATCCCATAGAAACAATAACAAAGCAAGCCGCATTAAGACTTCAGGATCCCACAGAAACAATAAAGAAGCAAGCCGCATTAAGGTTTCAGGATCCCACAGAAACAATAAAGAAGCAAGCCGCATTAAGATTTCAGGATCCCACAGAAACAATAAGAAGCAAGCCGCATTAAGGTTTCAGGATCCCACAGAAACAATAAAGAAGCAAGCCGCATTAAGGTTTCAGGATCCCACAGAAACAATAAAGAAGCAAGCCGCATTAAGATTTCAGGATCCCACAAAGACTAAAAGCGAAGCAAGCTGCACTCTTTTTGATGATCAATGATAAACATTAAAAAAAAAATTTTTAAAAGCCATAACAATATGAATCATTCTTTTCTCTTTGATCTCCAAATGTCGAATAACATTTTGCAACCCAAGAAATTTAGAAATGAAAAATAAGAATGGTTTTGGCTTTTAAAATATTTCATTTTCAAAAAGTATTAAATAAAAATATAACGTCCTCAAAAAAATGTTAAAAAATTAGGAAAACGCTTCTTTCATTGGCTGGTTAAGTAAGATGTTTACCAGGATTTTTTCCAAATTTGGAATTTTCAAATACTGCAATGATCTACATCCTAGATTCATTGTGAACAAGAGGGAACACAAAATTTTAACCCATGCTATTTGTTGATTGACCAATTAAAATCGCAAATTTGATAAACGTAGAAAATAATGGGTTTGATTCATTTTGTCAACAATCACTTCACCAACAATTGTTTCATTAACGAATTTAAGAAGCTGGAAGCAACCATGCGACAAACCATTGAAATAGTCTAATAAATTAAATTGTACTACTCGAAAATGTATTTAAATGGTTGGTTTTTGACTTGGTCGAAGAATAACTCTCTTCCTAACTCTTCTCTTGACCATATCTCTCGATATAATCAAAATAACCTTAAGATAATGAATGTCAATGAAATGATTGTAAATACAACAAATTTAAGATACATGATTGTGATGAAAAATGAACAATGTATGAAAAATCAAACCAATTATTTAATAAAAACAAAATTTACAACTCAAAAATTTTTTTTCATGTTCTAATAAAATTTCCATTGTTGCTGTCATCTGTTGCTGATTCAACATTGCCCAGATCATCATCAACTGTATTTTCGTTATTTTTGATAAATTTAATATTTTTCATCATACTTTCTTTTAGTGTGTTGACATTTTTTTGATTTCGACTTGAAGATAGTCCAAGATATCAAACATTTAGATTGACACCTTTGTAGACAATTGTGATAACATGAGTACACTACAATTATTCAAATTAGTATAATTAGTGTAATCACATTATATGTAATTGCAAAAAATGTTTGTAGATAGTTTCCTAGCAGTATTAAAGGATACTGATTGTCTCTGGATGTGAATCTATGATAATCGTCAACATTCAATAAGAATGTATTTTTTAAATATTTTGTAAGTGCATTTCTCATGTTCATCTGCAACTTGCTTCTTTTTACGATCTACTGCTCTTGATGTTGTTGTTACTCCAAGACTTGTATCTACCGAGTCTAAATAGAATGCAAGGTCGAACTTAAAAGAGTTAATTTTTGTATTATTTAAAACAAGATAACACATGAACACTAAAATGGCCGAGCTGCTAAATAGAGTTGGTCAAAAAACCCCTTCAAGCTTGCTTCTATTTCTTGTAGCAATCAATCTTTTCACTTACCTCTTCCTCTTCCTCTTCCCCTTCCGCATCTATAGTTTTTATCTCCTAGGTTCTCTTTTTAAAAGATTTTCTACAAAATTCATATAACAAATGTTACATAAAACAACACGTTACTTTCACTAAGTTGTTGTTCTCAGCTTCTTTCCATTTATTGCCTTTCGTTGATGAAATTTAGCTGATTCAGTGGTTTTACATTCTGTGCAATGTTTAATTTCAGGCAATTTTTCTTCAAGTAAATCGTATTATGAAAGTTGTGGGATTCAAAGGGATTCAAAAGATATGATAACAACAAAGTGTAAAGCTTCAAATTTGTGTAATTATTTGCACATGATTTATTGTAAGAATGGGCTACGTAATACCCTTGTAAAAGTATTTTAAACTGTATAAAAAAAATTGAAATCAATTGTGAAAATCCATTCCTTATATAGGACGGTCTCTCCTGTTCTAGTAAACTTGTGTGTTTTTAAACCTTAATAACTTTGTACATAATTGAGAAATCAAAAAAGTAAACTGTAATTTTGAAAGAGGAAATTCTAATCTATCAATTTTTACAGTTTCTTTTTTTTGTAGCATAAAAATTGAGGGACTAGATACATTTTAAAGTCACCCATAAATTCTTGATGACTTTAGGTGACACACACCATACAGCAGTAGACATGTCGATCCCGTGAAATTACAGATGACTGATAATATGCGTACAAATCATGTATTTTTTTATGTATGCAAATTGTACATATATTATATGCTTAATCCCTGCAATTGCGTATTATATACGCATAATATTTGTACCCATTTTCCTGATGTAGTAGACCTGATATAAATAAGTTTCATATTAACTATTTTTATATAGAGGTAATTCTACATATACTTAATATCAAGAAGATAAAAAATGGGTGATTTTAATAATCACATTGCTAAATTTTGATCCCTAAAATACTTGGTAATACCTTGTCTGGTTTTGTTGCAGCATGCCCCATATATATAGGACTTGTAGTTTGAAGTTAAAATCAAAATAAAATAAAATAAAATTTTAACAATCAAATCAAATTTTAATTGCCAAAATGAATGCAAATAATGGTCCATGCAAAGTTAGAGGTTGTGATAAAAATGATCCTGATAAATATAAATTTAAGAAATTTACTGAATATGCTAAAAGAAAGGCTTATGTAATTGCACGAAGATTAAAAAACTAACCACCATTCTTTTCGCCGGGGACTGTAAATTGCTTTTTTGACTCAAATCTTCTTGCAGAAGGTTCAATTAAGTGACCAAAATGTTCATTATGAAATGTAGATTATTTTTTATGGGATCAGTTACAGTTTGATTCTACTTTTTTTTTATTAGTACTGACTGTCACAATTACAAATAAGAGTTTGTTTTCGTATGTCATTTCTCAAATTTTTGCTTAAATCCTTGTTGTTGCGCTCATTGTTTAATATACCTGATACTAACTTTCCTAGTTGGGAAATGCATACTATCATCCAGTTTTGTAATCATTCTGATTCTTCTCGGTAACATTGCTATCTTCAGAAATGTTCTCTAAAATGTGATGGTTGATATAAATTCGCTTTCACTTCTTTCAGAATCACTTGAAAAGTCAATTTATTCATGATTAATACAAAGTTTTTAAGGACTAAAATTTATTAAAAAAGGGGTTTTTTTTGTGATATTAAAAATCTTGAACAAAATCTAATTTCCCATATTATTAAACCTTGTGCCTAATCAACTGTTATCAATTATTTTTAAATATGACAATAATTTACTTCAATAGGCAGTAAATCTAGCCCATAATGTGAATGTGGCTTTATTTCATCTATTGGAACAAGATTTTACATTTAAAGTGGGACGTTTTGTCGTTTTAAATTTCTATAAAAATAATTAGAACCCGATTCAAGATTCTAGCTATTAATTAATTTTCTTTATGACTATTCACATTTGACTATTTAAAATGCATGTCGTTTATCACGAATTACGAATTTTTTTTAAAAAAATAATAATAAAAGAATCGGCTAACTCTTTTTTTAGCCAATTTTTTTTACTTTTGATCAAAATTCATTTATTCACAAAAATTTAAAGTCAAGATTCTTTCAATCATCATTAGACAATTCTCTGCAAATGGAAAACAAGGGGATTTTTTTAAACTTTAGACTGTTTATAGAATATCAAACAATTTTTTCCTCCTTATTTAACATAAAAAATGGGGTTATCATTGATATTCTCAAATGCAATGCTATTGTCCTTATTCACTCTAACCATTACGTTGTCATTATTTCATTTTTTATTAGATCATATCATCAAATCATTCCTACAAACTCATTTATTATATGTACAATGTATGTGAGTACACACTATTATTATGAAAAGAATAATGAATAAAATGAAATAATTATGAAAGAAGACACTTCCTTCCTGAATACACCAATCTTTAATACTAACCGAGATGAGTTATGGAGATTTGATTGTTTTTTTAAAAAAAATTTTTTTTTTGATAATAAAGTTGGTAAATTATTGATGTGAAATGATAATGTTGTTGCGACGCCTATCATTGTTTTTTTGTAATAATTATTATTATTAAAATTTGTTATAATGTTTCAATCTTGATTTCATCCTTCCCTAAAAATTCAGTTTATAAAAATTTGTTGACAGGCTTTTACAATTTGCCTTTTGTCATTTGGCATTTGCATTCAACAAAATTCCAATTTACAATCAGCTATATAGGATATTTCAGATTGCTAGAGACTTTCTTTTTTTTTTTAAAAAAAAAAAAAGCAGAAGTTTGGATTTTCCAAATATTTATATCGGGTAAAAAGTTTTCTATTCCGAATTTATAATTTTTTTTCACACCTTTATTAATAATCGTTAATAAATAATGACAAGTTCATATTTTTAGCTTCTTAGTGGCTTAAATCTAGTTGCGGCTATGACTAGAAATTGGAGGCAATTTATTTTTGTAAGAATCATCATCAGGCGAGGATTGTCAATTTAGCAATCATTGTTTGTTTGGTTTAATGGTGTAATATTTTAATATAATTTAAAAATAAAGTACAAAAAAATTATTTTTATGTTTTTTAATCTATAAAGAGAAGCCTTGCATCTCATTTTTTCATTATGCAAACAGGGTTCGGTTTTTTCACCGATTATAAAATCCTTATATTAGAGATTATTATTGAGTAAAAAGACTCAAAAAAAAAAAAAAAAAAAACAGCTTGTAGCTCGATTTTTCTAGTAACAGATCCCAAATAATAAATTGCAAGAATTATTCTTTTTTACAAGCTATAGCCTGTAAATATATATATAATCATCTTTTCTTTCCAGATATTCTAGATGATTAAAAAAAAATTTTTAGTATTAGTAAACATGGAATAAAAAAATACTAAGAAGAAGAGAGGAATGAGTGTTTACCTAAAATTTTTTATATAAGGTTTATACTTAATATTTTCTACAGCACATTGTTCAATCATTTCATTATACTCTTCTAAACTAACTCCGATAAATGATGAGATATAAGGTCCAGCAGTTTCTAGTGACCCAACTATAGTTGTTCTTAACTACACAATTAAATGATGTAATATAATAATGATCATTTTATTGCCATCATAAAAGATTTA